TTTTGGCCAGGCCATGGGACTGGGCACACCACTGTCTTTCTCCATTTTCTCAGGATTCCGTATAACAAACTGCAGAAGGCTGTCGCAGAGACACAACCCCTTTTTTGGTTAAATTTATGTTACAGAGGATCTGGAAAAGCCAAGAATGGGTTTGCTTTGAAGTAGTCTGTGGGAAAAGTAGGGGTTAGGAAAACAGGCAGTCATTCAATTTTCCTGAGGGCTGAATAGGAGAAACAGTTGTTAAGATCTCTGCTAAACCGCTGCTTTGTGCCTTCCTGGACAGTTCTGCCTCTCTGGCATTCTTACTGAGCTTGATGGAGTTACACCTACCAGGGATCACTAAACTCTCTCAGGTGTTTCAGGACCTCTTGCCCTTTGGTAGCACGCTGATGAAACTGCCTTTCAAAAAAAGGGCAAGGTTAGTATCATTCACACTTTCTGAACTTTGTCCTTGCCTCCCTTTCACCTACTTTCTGGGGCCTGCAGTCAAGCACCAACTCTCTCTTCCAGAGATAACCATGCACATTACCTTCTGCTGTGTGGATGGTCATCTCTGTGGATTGTGCATGGTTGTGCATATGTGAACTGGAGTATTGATCCCAGCATTAGAAGAAGAACAGGAGATCCAGATCTGGGGAACCCTAATTCAAATCCCCACTCTGCTACAAAGCTGACTGAGTGACCTTGGCCAGTCACTCTCCCTCTGGCTACTTTCTGTGATAGGAGACTCTGCCTCACAGGATAAAAGGGGTAACCACAAGTGCCACCCTGAGTTCCACACAGATAGATAACAGGATCTCCCTTCTAACACCATGGCTGAGTAGGCATCATAAGAATAAAATTGTATAGTAGTTATTTTTATTATTTTGTTTATTTCATTTTACAAAATTTATATCCCACCTTTTTGCCTTCACAAGGGCCACCGAGGCAGCTAACAATTTAAAACATTCATGATAAAATCACCATTTTGGAAACCATTAAAATCAACCCCCTCCTTCCCAAATGACACACATCATTAAAACAATTAAAAAGAACTAAAATACATACAAAAATATAAAAAACAGCAATTAAAACATTGGTCTGGAAAGAGGAACAAAACAGAACAAAGTCTTCATCCTGTGACAGAAGATGACCACAGAAGGGGACAGACGAATCTCCCTGGGGCTCCAGAGGTCCGGCAGCACAACTGAGAAGACCCTCTCCTGGGTTAACACCCACTTAATCTCTGAAGGCAGGGGCACCCAAGGCAGGGCCTCTGGATGATGGTTGTAGTCAGGTGGGTTCATAGTATTGTATTGTTTTACACCGTGAGTCACCTCAAGCAGGTTTCTGGAAAGGGGAAATATACATTTTCAGAATAAAATAAACAAGCAGCTCTTACTGAGCTCCCTTCTGTTCAAATTATGTTGGAATTATGGGGTTGTTAATGTATAGGCACTTCCATAAATTCAGTCTGGAACACTGAAGGTCCTTTCTCCAGAAATCTTGGGACACCTGAAGATACCTTATTGGTCCATCAAGGTCACTATTGTCTTCTCAGACTGGCAGCAGTTCTCCAGTATCTTTGGTAGAAGTCTTTCACATCACCTACAACATGATCCTTTCAACTGGAGGTACCAGGAATTGAACCTGGGACCTTCTGTGTGCCAAGCAGATGCTGTACTACTGAGCCATGACCGTCCCAGGGAATACAATCTACACAGGTTTCAGAACAAAGTTCAAGTCTAGTGGCACCTTTAAGACCAACAAAGTTTTATTCATGGTATAAGCTTTCATGTGCGTGCACACTTCCTCAGATACAGTGTGCACGCACACAAAAGCTCATACCGTGAATAAAACTCTGTTGGTCTTAAAGGTGCCCCCACTGGACTCAAACTGCTGCTTCAGACCAACACAGCTGCCCAACAGAATCTATCCAGGTTTCAGTTAGAGAAGAAAGAAGGCATCATCTGCTTTAAGATCCTACCCCAAACTGAAACACTCTGCTTTCTTCTCCAGATGAGAATCCATACTATAGCTGTCAGGTTGGGTAAATACAACTGTGCTGCAGAGAAAAGCAGAAGTAGTGTTTATATGAGTGCAAAGTTACACATGTACCCCCTCCCCTACGTCCATTCCTTCCGCTCACTCTGAAATGTTTCTCTGGCATGCTGGCAGCAACATGAGGCCACTGTGAGGGAAGCATCTATGCAAATTAAAATAAAGCTCTGTTAAAGATACAAAACTGATGAAAGTGGCCTGTGATGGACACACTTGTTGGTAGGTTTGGTCAGGAGCTTCTAAGCACACTTTCATATATTTAAGATACATCAGAAAACTTTTGGTGTAGTGGTTAGGAGCATGGACTCTAATCTGGGAGAACCAGGTTTGATTCCCCACTCCTCCACATGCAGGTGCTGGTGTGACCTTGGGTCAGTCATAAGTTCTTTCAGAACTGTTCTCTCAGGAGCAGATCTTGAAAGAGCTCTCTCAGCCCCACCTACCTCACAGGGTGTCTGTCGTGGGGAGGGGAAGGGAAAGGGATTGTAAGCTGCTCTGAGACTCCTTTGGGTAGTGAAGGGCAGGGTATAAATCCAATCCTTCTAGTACCAACTCTGGCTGGGGGAGAGGTTGCAGCATTTGATGCATGATATAGGGCTTTGAAGATGGGATCGACATGTGCAAAAGGAACAGAGAAGATCACAATCAAAAGGCTTCTTATAAAGGAATTGGAGGAAAACCACAAGCAACAAACAGACACTTTCACAAGAGCTCTTGTTCTCAGTCTTCAGAGGCATAGGTACTGTTTCTCTAGAACTGCCTGGGCTGATAGCTGTGCAGAAGGATAAGCAGAGCGAAGGGATAAAACCGTTTCTAGGCTTCTGGCCACAGGCTGGACTTGTAATACTGTGCCATACAGCAGGCTGCAGTGATACACAGTGCCACGCGACAGCCTCTGGGCAGAATCTGCACACAACATTGGCATCAGGTCACTGTGAAGGATGGCCATAAGTGAAACAGGTGGAGTGGATCTGCTTTGGCATATTTTTGTCAGGCGGGGACATGATTCAGACAGTTTGAGCTCAGAGTGATGAAGATGCAGCGTTTGACCCTTGGATGCTATTTGTCCCCTGTGGAAGCCTGATGCTGCAAGCTAGCTATAAAGATGCAAATCAGTGCCATCGCGGGAGCTCTTGACTCAATCATATCATTTGCCATTTGACACATGAAATGAGGCACCCCTGTGCTAAATCAAGTGGCTCATGGGGCAGTGAGCAAAGCCCGCAGGCTGTTTTTAAGGGTGTCTGGGAACTTGAGGGAGCGTAGTACAGC